CAGAACAAAGAGATAAGGACCTGGCAGCCACTCAGACAAACCTTGACAGCAATCCAACCTGCCAAGGTATTTACAAAAGTTCTCCAACTTTTAGTCAATGCGTTGACTTCTGCAAAGAGGGGCGTGTGCACAGTAGTCTTTTTATAGTCTGGAGAGGACCCTAATCACCACCAGCTGAGTGCAATTGCCTCCTGTAACTACACAACAGTTCCTTACGCCTATTAGCTCTTCGATGCCGGGCATCCAGAAACAACTCACTGCTGGACTCAGGCTCACTCTCCCTTGTCTCCTCCCTACTGGTCCAAAGCTCAGGCGCCTCCTGATGGCCAACCAGCCTCTCTCTGCCCTGCTCAGAGTCAGAACCCTGTCCAGGGTCCTCCACATCCTCCAGAGCCAACTCATAGGGCCCCTCGCTGTCGGAGTCTGGTGGCAGCTCCAACGCTCCTGCTGGGCCACAACACAAATGCCAAAATCACTGCCAAGCTTGGTAAGAAGGTGACATCGCTTGGGGAACCTGGTAGTGTTTGATGGGGCATATATTGAACCAGAAAGAATGGTTACAGCCTTATGCAAACTAAGCATGCATGAAGCTGGTTTGGATGCTTATATTATTAGAAGAGGAGATGTGCCAGATGTAGATTTATCTTCAATACTACTAATTAGGAGTTTATTATTGAATTTTAATGATCTAAGAATTGATCTTTTTTTTTAAAAAAAATGCATCATTCTTTATAAAATTTATATAACACCACCTGGACTCATTTTTTTTGTAAAATGGGCAGCCATACAAATATGATACATATATAAACTCAGAGTAATCCGGATAAATTCTGGGGCTTCCAATCTTAAATTGACCCATTTATCATCATGCAAACAAAAAGTGTAGGTTAATCCTCCAAAGACAAGAACAACATCATAAATAAAAATTTCGTTTAGACAACCTGTCTATGTTACTTTTTTTTCTCTACACCCATCCTCCCTATTTTGAATGATTCCGCTCCATCTGAGGTACCATGAATTTTAAAATACTTTTAATAGAGCTTTGAGAAATTATGTTTATGATGTAACAGAGGCAGCAATCGGTTCAGTGGATGGCTAATGCTTACTTTCAGAGCTGCCAGTATTGATACATAGCTTTGATTGCTCCCCTCTTCCATTTTTGAGATGGGTCTGGGTTTTTTTTCCTTCTTGGTTTTCATAGGGTGATACTTTAAACACCAGATATCAAGTGAACTTTGGAGATGGCATTAAGGCAAACTATATGAACCTGACACTGATAGGTGAAACCTTTCAGCACCATTATGAAAATCCTGGAGTTTATCGTGTCTCTGTGGTGGCCAAGAATGCTGCAGGTCAAGATGAAGCAGTCATATTTATTCAGGTTCATCGTAAGTTTCACTTTATTTTTCTCATTCTCATTATTATTGCAGCATTAGTATAGTATTAACTTACCTATTTGTTACATTTGTATATTTCATTACAAAATGGTTAGCAATTTACAGTGCAATACATATTTCACTCTTGGAGCTTCTTAACAGTCAACAGAATGTTGGATTTTTTCCCCTCTGGGATGGAAATTACTTTCTGATCTCAAGTTTATTCATGTGTCTGCTATTGTTATCAATACCAAAAAATCTTGTTGAGAAACAGGAGGGATACATTTTGAATGCATCTTGGCTATAGTCTACATCATAAAATATATTTAGGTCATGTCCATAAATGGATTCTATTATGTATGTATTTATTTATTTATTAATAAAATTTATATGCCGCCCAATCCCGAAGGACTCCGGGCGGCTTACAAAACTAAAAGAAAAAAAAAAGACACATAACGAACAGAATGTATGTTGTCAGTATAGTAGAATACTGAAAATTGATTTAATATCTTGCTCAGATAAATGCTCATCCTAGTCATAAAGGAAGTAAGTAGTCTTCAAGATGAAAAATCCCTGTGATGCCTCATTGCTTTTTGCATTTGCTGTCTTCCGCACACCACATTTGTGTGCTGGCACACAAAACAAGTAGAGCAGAAACTCTGCGCTCACTTCTTGGTATAGCTGAAGGTAGAGGTGAACAAATTTAAAAATGCATAAAATCTGGAGGTAAGTTTTTCCTTTAAGTGAAAAGTGCAGTTTACAGATTCATGAATTTGTTTGACCAAGTTGGGAAAGTTTCCTATTTCCACTAAACTGAAGTTTGTTTATACTTTCTTTTTATATACTGACATCAGGAATATATGACAGGATTCTGCTTAAATTTAACTTTGAAGGCAGTGCAGCAGACATCTGACCTGCCTCATGACCAGTGACGTGCAGTGAGATTTATGGCTGATGAGGCAGCAATTATTTTAGACTTGTGGACTTCAACTCCCAGAATTCCACAGCCAGGCATGCTTAGTT